GTGTAGAACACTGAGGCCCACTTGTCTTGGTCTAGGGAGTAGCTGGATGTTGGCCTCAGGTACATGAACATGACTGTACCATAAAACAGGGTGACACCAGTAAGGTGAGACCCACAGGTGGAAAACGCCTTTAGGCGGCCTTGAGCTGATCGCATTCTGATGATTGCAATGAGGATGAAAGCGTAGGAGATGAAAATGATAAGGATGGTGCTGAACTCAATGAACCCACACAAACTAAACAGCAATATCTCACTGATGTAGGTATCTGAGCAAGAGAGAGCCAGGAGTGGCGGGATTTCGCAGAAGAAGTGGTTGATGACGTTGGAACCACAGTAACTGAGGCTGAACGTGAGGGAAGTGTGGGCCACCAAACTGACTAGGCCAGCCAGGTAAGAGCCCAGCATCAGGGCCAAGCAGACTTTCTTGGACATGAGAGTGCTGTAGTGGAGGGGTCTGCAGATGGCCACAAACCGGTCATATGCCATGGCAGCTAGGACATAGCACTCGGCGTCCACAAAACCCACAAAGAAAGCAAACTGGGTGGCACAGCTGGAGAAAGAGATAGCTTTGTGCTTCGCGAGGCAATCAGCCAGCATCCGGGGAGCAATGGCTGAGGAGTAGCCCAGGTCGACGAAGGAGAGGTTGCAGAGGAAAAAGTACATAGGAGTATGAAGCTGATTATCTGTTATGATCAGGATGATCATGCCAACATTCCCTACAACGTTAACCAGGTAAACAACGAGGAAGACCACAAAAAAGATGATCTGCAGCTGAGGATCCTGAGTGATGCCTACAAAGATGAACTCAGTCACAACTGAGTGATTTTCTATATCCATTGCTCCAAGCAGTGTTTTGTGTGTGTGTGTGTGTTTAAGTTTAGTTTACTACTGAATTTAGTATATTTCTTGTCATGGGACGTGCTAACAATCAACTTAAGCAATTATGTGCTCAGGATATTATAGACTATTTTTTTTTATAATAAAAGGAAGTTTTATTTTGTACGATACCCAAATCTCTACCTTCTCATTCAATTCAGCGACTATGACGGGAACTCAGAGGACTTTGTCAAGGCTGTGGATCCTTTGCAGGTGCACGCATTTGTGGAAGATATTGAGCTTCCTGAGTAAGCAAGTTCTGCCTCTTCAACAGCCTTAACAAGCTGAGGTCATTTAAACAAGACATCAGGTTTTAACTTGTTCTCTGTGATTATCCACTGGATTCACTAGCAGGAATGATGCGGCTATGACGTTCTTCTCCCTGAAGCAAAACACAGGAATACCCATTTGTGAGGCTCTGCTTCCCTCCTTGATTAGTTGGCTGTCAATTCAATTGTAGGATTAAAGGCAGTGGAAAACTAAAACAAATCAAATCAAACAAGTCTGAGTAGAAGGTCATTTAGGAAAGAGTGGGATGCAGACATAAACCGTAAGAGAGGAGCCCTGCCTGTCCTTTCGGTGGTTTACTGCATAACAAAGGACAAGAAGCTGAGGGAGTGATGTATTTATGGGACTGTGGGAATTCATAGTAGGTGAGACTAAATCCTGATTAGAAGCAGTTACAAGTCAAACCCTTAGCTTTAAATTGTTACAATACAATCAACCACAACAGAAGCGGTTGTCTGAGATGAATTTTCTCGGAGAAGCTTCCTGTTTTCCAGGCATACATCTGTCACCTGATTCTTACTTCACTGTGCACATTATCATGTCTATTAGATCAGCCGGGAATCAGCATGGAAAGGCCTGCCTGGAAGGATTTGTTTGGGACACACCTTTCTGACACAGGTTTGTGTCTGTAACTCGCATAGGAACCTGAGACCTGAGTAAGAGAAGAAGCAGCAGCTCTACACAGAAGGAGGCAGAGTATTTCTCAGCTGTAATGTCCGAACAAAAATGTAAAGACAGTTGTGGAAGTAATCCATTACATTTTCTCTTTATTACTCATTTTGGGAGCATAAAATTTCTTTATCTAAAAAGAAAATTCTAATTGAGGGTTAGAAAAGATGGCTCAGATGCCAAGAATACTTGCTGATCTCTAAGACGGTTAGAGTTTGGTTCCTAGAACTGACAGGCAGCTCACAAAGACCTGTAACTCTAGCTCCTGTGGATTTTATGGTCCCTTTAGACTTCTGTATGAAACTGCACACACATGAGCATGTGCATGTGTATGCTCTCTCTCTCTCTCTCTTTCTCTCTCTCTCTCTCTCTCTCTCTCTGCCCCTTTCTCTCTCTCACACGCGCACACAACTATAACTGAATACATATTTAAAATTTTCTGTGAGATTAAAAAGTTTCATTAGAAAATTGCATCATTCCTGATTACACAGAGTGTAGTGTTTGGTCTTAAATGAATTTAATCTTTAAAAAATAAAATACTCAAGTATTTATATTAGAGAAATGCAAATTAAACAAACGTGAAATACTCATAAATGCATATTAAAATAAATGAAGTTTAGATAATACACATGTGTTGACAAGGAAGTAAAGGAGTCAGAGTTTTAATCATGATTAGTAGTAGTGTAAAGGGTGCAAGTGCTTAGCCTCTTATAAAAGGAAACCCGTAAGTAGTGATTTTATGATTCATCCATCAAAAATGTAAAGTGTTCATGCATGGGAACAAGCCTAATAGACTACAGTGTCAGCACATGGTGCTACGCTACCCAAGTACAGGAAAAACTATTGATATCTTTACAATGAAGGCTGAGTACAAAAGTAATTACATTCAGTGGAGAAAACGTAAGAACTGGATACTTTGCATTATCCCATTTACAGAATAAATAAAATGAGTGATTAAGTAATTAATAGTGATGGAAAGCAGATGTATGACTGTTTGAAATACACACACACACACACACATATCTGAATAAGAGGTAGCAGTGCATAGAGCTCCAAGAAATCCTTTGCCTATGATGAGTTGACTTCCGGTGTTGTTTGTAATGATGACTTCATGCTTTCATATATATATAATTAAAATACAGAAAATAGTATGTGCTTCAGGTGTATTCTATGGCAATTGTAATTCGATGTAGTTGCCCCAATAAACAATCAAGAAGCGAACCAAAACAAATTAGACAACAATGTCCTACTTACTCCTACCTCACTACTGAATTTGAATTCAGGCATTATTTCGCGGGTCACACTCCTTGGGAAATAACAACCCTCATGGAGGGAATTTGCAAAGATATTTTATGTTATTTGCGGCCGAACTGTCGTGTTTACAGGAGCAAGAGCTACCTTGCAACGAGTTAGGTTTCAGACCCACAACTGTCTATGTGTCACTCAGTTGAACACTTTGGTTAGCAATGCATCCCTCCCTCCTTACAGATCCAAGATTTGAATAAAAAGAGCAGACCATGGGAAGATGCTTCATCCACCCCAAAACACGGTGCTTGTTTTTGTGTGTTGTGGACACAGAAGAGCAGCCAGGACTATTTGTTGCTGACAGTTCTCAGCACAGCATTTGTCTTCAAGAGTTGTCACTTATTAAATAGGAAGAAAAGTATTTACCTTAGCAATACTGAGCAAAACTCAGCTAGGCTATATCTAAACTGCTGGGTGCATTGATCATTTTGTGTTGAATATTGAATGCTTTTGGTCACTGTGTACCAAGATTAATGCTTAGTTCAGCACACAAGTTCATACTCATAAATCTCTAACTGGCATCAAATGTTTATTCCATAGTTGTTGCACAATGACTGCGGTCTTCTCTGGAGGGGGAGAGTATTTAATTCTAAATTACATTAAAGATGGGTAGAAAGTAGGCTGTAATCTCAAAACTGTAAATCTGCAGACTTAGAAACAGCTCTGTCCTATAAAACTAAGTGCTGGCAAAACAAATTTTAGCCTTACATTCTTCACCTGAATTAGAATTTCCTATATATGAAGGCGTCTACAAACGAAAAGAACAAGGATTAAGAATCTGGAGATGCTGTTACAGCTCCTGCAGTGATTGGTTCAGCTCCCTGAACTGCTCTTTTCAGCGTGGATTTCGGATGTGCGAATTGGGTGTGGTGGAGAAGAGCTTTAGTGTTATCAGTTTTTAAATTCTGACTTCCAACAGCAAATAAAAGTTAAAACAGGCCTGAGCATTGTTGCTGTTTCTGATATGGTTAAAAGGACCCGGGGCCAAGAAGTTCCAGGACTCGGAGGAACACTGATCAATGAGCACCACCCTGAGCAGGTGTGCCATCCTGTCCCAACAGAGAGCTGACCTGTTTTCTTCCTGTAGTAGCAGCGGAAGATTTTTCTCTCCTCAGATGGGTCTAGTGGAGTGAGTGTTCCACAGCCGAGTCACAGACTGTGACTCGCCCCTTCTGTTTCAGGGCCACTTGCGCCTCCCGCTGCCGCACCCGTGGGCGGGAGGTATTTAATTCTCAGAGTCATGCATTGTTTCCCAGAAGAAATATCATGAAATGGTTTTCTGCATCCACTAGAGATTCAGATATGATGAACATCATCCCCTGAGACATTTTACTTCCTCTATCCCCTGAGATTAATAATAAGAAAGATGTGCAGGCTTATTTGAAGATACAATGCTATAATGATGATCTGTTGTAAACACTGTCATTTCATCTTTTATTATTTCTTTTTCTTTTTTATTTATTTTTGCATATGAGGTCTCACTATGACGCCCTGACAGGAATGGAACACCCTATGTTAACCAGACTGGCCTTGAATTTACCAAGACTCACCTGCCTCTGACTCTCCATATTGTGCCCGTGCAGGCTTTTTTTTTTTTCCTCTAGGCTAAAGACTCTTGTGAGGTATGATTAGGTGATGAATAAGAAGGTTTTCTGTTTATGCCGGTGTCTACAAATGTCTGTTGAGAAAGCCATTTGCTATAGAATGGCATCAAGGTACTAAAGAAAAGGTGATGAGTCATTAGCTAAAGACAGAGAGATAAGAACACTCAGCTGGTTACCCACCGCCTCCCGGGATGGGAGGGAGTGGGAACTGGGTTGGTATATAAAATGAGAAAAGACTATTAAAAATAAAATTAAAGAACAAACAAACAAAAATTAAAAGGAAAGAGAAGAAAAGGAAAAGAAAAAAAAAGCAGGACCATACTGCTATGTTATAAATTAAAAGAAAACTTTTAGAGGTGTATGTCCATAAATTCAACTTTCTGTATAACATCAGTGTTTCAAAAATCTAAGCACATCCAAATTTACACATTGAACATGTGAAGTTCTTTTTAGTGTGCCATGTCCCTATGTAGGCCAGGCTGTGCTCACCCACTGGAGTGATCAGGTCAGATTGAGGATGCATACAACATGGCTTCAGAGTCTCCCAAGGAAACCTCACACCATCCTGCATTTTGATAATTACGATTTTCGAGATTCTAGATATGTGTATAAAATGGGTGTAAAGGTGAGAAAATGATTCTTAAGTTTTAATTTTTGGAGACTTTCATACTTAAAGACTAAATTTAAATCTTTTCCACTCCTTCATTTCCCTCATCCAATACCTTCTGTGTCCCCCACTGTTTCACAAATTTATGCTTCTTCTTTTTCTAACTGCATATGTATAATCTTATTTATTATCTCTGTGTACTAAATGCAGCAATCCACACTCATCTCCAAAGCAATTGCAGACGATATAGCTAATAAAGACATAGGAAGCATCCCAGTGTGACATAGTCACTGAGTCACAGTGTGGAGCTCTCATCCCCCAAACAACCCTTGGGGTCTCAATTGCCCAGTGTCTCCTCATCTCACCTCTAAACATTATCCAATGACCAACTTCTTGTGTGTATATAGTTTTCTTGTGGAAAATAACACTAGAGATAGTGCTGTTTTATGGACTCAAATTTTCCAAGCAGATATGGCCCCAGCTTTCAGGGGAGACAGGAAGGATGCGCAATAGTGCTTAGGAACAGAGTACTCAAAAATCGTTCTCCAACAGGTTCTGTGTTCCCATAGGCAAAACAAAGAAATGCAAAGGAGACTTGATGTTTTCTAAATCTCAGAGAGGAGACATGTAGATTTCATGGATGTCCCAGGAGAAAACCAGTCCCCAGAGGCCATGGAATGAGAACCACATGCTACTTTAAGTGAGTGTGACTCCTATCTGGTGTGTTGTGAAGTCTCTGGCAACAGTGGATTACACGCAGCTGGAGCACACTGACGGATGGTTTCCTTTGAAAGGAATGTCATTGCAGTATAGTAAGTTGGGATGCTCACATTTAAGGAAAGCTGACAGAAATAAGTCTCATTATTTTTCTGTGTGTGGAGTCAAGAGGTTCAATCACTCTTTCAAGAAGGAAGACGTGTTCTTGCTGAGGCTGAATTGCTTGCTTGCTTGTGAATTTAGGCATAGAACAGAAACAGCAAGATCAATAGAGGTCAAGCAGTTGCATACGGTAAGGGGAATCTAATTATGCTGCTTGGTTAGAGGATTGACCTAAGGTGACATCCATTCTGCTGTTATTTTCCTTAGTTACCCACTGACGCAAAATTCCAAAAGCTCCTAGGGATAACAAGTAATATGATTCCAGGACTTTTTAAAATTCAGTTTTTTCTCCGTTTTTGAGATTGTAATAAAATTACATCATTATCCTTCTTCTTTATTTCAAGCCCTCTCAGTTACCACTCCTTGCGATTTTAAATGTAGCAAGTACATCAGGATATCTTACAGTTATTTTCAGATACATGTAAAGATTGGCAAAGACATGTTTATTATTGCCTGGTTTGTGGGTTTGATTGCAAAATCACAGCAAGATGGGAAGCACACTGTAGAGAAACAGGACATATTCTTATTAAAAGACAGGAGGGATGTGAGGTTTGGCGGCTCATCGCTGTAATCCCAGCCTTGGAGAGACTGTGGTAGAAGGGTATTCTGTTCCATTTAAACACAGGGAGGATCTACATAAGAGCAAAAGAAAAGAAGTTTCAAGAACATGACTCACAAATAAGGTTACAAAAACGATTATATTTTGCAATAACTATATGAAGTTACAGTTGCTTAGGTGGAGATATGATCATTTTGGGCAACAATTATGGTTGACCCAGACTACACACATGCTTGGTTATGAGCTGTAACCCCAGCTGATATGGGACATCACTGTAACTAAGTCAGTTCAGCAGTATGAATGGGGCTTGTAAAACTGAGCTGCCTTCCCTCTGTGCACCAGTGTCCACTTCAGCATTGATGATGCTATTGTAAATGACCTCGAAAGCTGACTAACCAAGATTGAATTTTAGTTTATATTTCTGCTCCAATGAGGAGCTTTGTGACCCTTGGCAAGTTAATGATTTGCACTTTAGATTTGCTCTCTGCTTATCCTATAGGCATACAATAATATAACGTAACCAAAACGTTTAAAACAGGACTTATAGTTCACAGACATAATTAAAAGCATATTCAGCACATTGTAATGATTTCTGTCCTAACTAATATTACTTTCTATTCATCATTAGTAGATCTTATAAGGCATTGCTTTCACTGTTTTTGTTAGAATTCTATTCTCATGGGAGTTATGTTTGGAAATGTGGCAATTGATTTATTTTTATTTTCTGAAGATGAAATTATTTTTAAGGTCTATTTTCTATTTTATGTGCATGAGTGTTTCATCTGCATGCATGGCTATGCACCACACATGTGCAGTATCAAGGAGTGTTGGGTTCCCTTGAACTAGTGTTGTTATGAGCTACTTTTTAGGTCCTGATAATCAAACCCTGGTTCTCTGTAGCCCCTGATCCATGACTCCAGAGCCTAAAGATGCCATTCTCACAGTTTATCAGTGCCAGTGCATCATTGACATGGAAAATGGTCATATTGAGGAAAAGCTAATACTACAGTTATGCATTTTCTCAGAAAATATACCACTGATTAGCTGAAAACCCCTATACTCCAGTGGATACTCCTGGGATAATTCCTTCCAAGACTCCATCACTGATTGATGAGGTTTTTATATAGTAACAAAAGATCTTATTCTCAATAAAATAAAAAAAAAATTAAAAAAAAAAGATAAAATCAGATTTTTTTCTGGTTGAATGCATTCAATACCATTTTCATTATCACTGTGAGCAAAGATATTGGGTAATACTTTAATTTTATAAAGTATAAGTACCACCTTTCTGTGAGTGATAAGTGGGTGGTATAGCATATGGAACCCTAATTTCCTGAGTAGGCTATGCCGCCTTAGTTTACTGCTAAGTAATATGAGATAAGAAAGACACCTGGAATGGGCATGAAGACTCTTGCTGGTTGACATTCTCATCAAAGCTGTTGCTTAGAGGATAAGGCTGGCGTCTCTTCTGGGTTGTCCTTTTCCTTTCTGTTATTTTCTCCTCTATTTGACTTCACTCCATGTTGCTAGGTGTTAATTTTGCTTACATTTCTATTTTATTATAATAAAGAATTTCTTTTGATTCATTGTCGTCATTAGGTAATTCTATGTGCTACGTTTTATGGCCCTATTATTTTGTTAGTATGGCTAACTAAATTTATTTTAACTGATAAGGTAAATATCAAGACTGTTTCTTCAAGGGGTAACATGCAGGTTCTCTTGATAATGCTTGCATCCACGTAACTGCTAAATCAGGTTTAAGAGCTTAAGGAATCTAGCAAACAATTGCTATCTGTAGTAAATCTGATTTGTAATAGTTCTTCTGTGATCTTGTGCCTTTCAGGGTAATGGTTTGAACTGCACGGGCTGCTCATGCTTTTTTCCCATCATGAGTGTTTACACATCCTTAAAACCTGGTTCTCTAATCATTAGAGGATATTACTGAACTTTTTGATGTTTAGTTTATTTAAATCCTGTGACTGCATGAAGATAGCCTCAATTTCATAAAAATGTAAAACATACAGAAATTCAAAGATCCTCCTTGTTATTATTGACTCACTTTTCGGAATTTTAATATTTTTGAACTTCTTTATATGTAATGACAAAAAGAAGTCAGTTGTTTAAGGAAGGTATGCAGTGTTTCTTCAGTTATAAGTAGTAGACATTTATTTACAATTGTTTATCATTAATAATGAAGACAGTTATATCTCAAAATAGTTAATCACAAGCACAATTAAAGTCAATAGATCTTAATTCTGTTTAAGGTCTTCAGAAGCCAATACTCAAAATTCAGTTATAAGAGATTGGACTTTGTCAGTTCCAAGATACTTTTCACTATGGTATCAATATTTTATTACTTTTGAAATAATTCATGTGTATCAAAAATCTCTATTAATACATTTATATTTTCACCACTACATTCATAAATATTTATGAATATTCATCTATATTCTACATTCATCTAAATAATGCAATGCTCCAACTTTTCTTATGTTGCAGCACAGATGGTCCAAACCGTGAAAGGAGTCCAAGGTAAAAATGAGACAGAAGTGACAGAATTTATCCTTCTGGGGCTCTCAGACAATCCAGACCTGCAGAACATCCTCTTTGCATTGTTTCTGGTGATCTACATGATAACCCTGGTGGGTAATTTGGGCATGATGGCACTAATTAAGGTGGACCGCTCTCTGCACACACCTATGTACTTCTTTCTCAGCAGCCTTTCCTTTGTCGATGCCTCTTATTCTTCTTCTGTCACTCCTAAGATGCTGGTAAACCTCCTGGCTGAGGATAAGAGCATTTCTTTCAATGGCTGCGCTGCCCAGTTCTTCTTCTTTGGCTCCTTCTTGGGTACTGAGTGTTTCCTGCTAGCCATGATGGCATACGACCGCCATGCAGCCATTTGGAATCCCCTGCTGTACCCAGTTCTCATGTCTGGGAGAATTTGTTTCATGTTGGTGACTACTTCATTCCTAGCAGGCTTTGGCAATGCAGCCATCCACACAGGGATGACTTTCAGATTGTCCTTTTGTGGCTCTAATAAAATCAACCATTTCTACTGTGACACCCCGCCCCTGCTCAAACTCTCTTGCTCTGACACTCACATTAATGGCATCGTGATCATGGCTTTTTCCAGTTTCAATGTCATCAGCTGTGTTCTGATTGTTCTTATTTCTTACCTATGCATCCTCATTGCCATACTGAAGATGCCCTCTGCAGAAGGAAGACACAAAGCGTTCTCTACCTGTGCCTCCCACCTCATGGCTGTCACTATCTTCTTTGGAACAATCCTGTTCATGTACTTGCGCCCTACCTCTAGCTACTCGATGGAGCAAGACAAAGTTGTCTCTGTGTTTTATACAGTAGTGATTCCCATGCTAAACCCTCTTATCTACAGTTTGAAAAATAAAGATGTGAAAGAGGCAGTGAAGAAGATTGTACAGAAACGTGTGCTTTGAGACCAGACCACGTGTTTTCACCTTATGTCAATTGTATTGTATTTTCAATGTTTCTTTTAATAGTATAATTGCTTAAAACCTTTATAAGCACATAGATGATTTGATATAACACTCAATCTTCATTTCCTAGTGTATTATATTATCTACATGTACTCTTATCATGAATCAAACCAATACTTGATGGAGATATGGCACCAAAATATAAAAATCGTTTGACATGGGCTCAACTTAAAATGTATATGTTTAGATAATTGCAATTTCACAGTTTGCTTCACTATGTATGTGTGTATATACATACTTATGTTTGCAATTCTCTGTGTGTATATGGATACCTTCCTTTCTTACCAATGATCTATTTTAGTGTCTTTGATTGAGTTTTAAACAAAGAGCTATTATTTTCAGCATGGCTATTGGTATGTATTTTCAGGAAGAAAGCAGGATGGGGGTGAGTTGAAACATGACAAACTGCATAAAGACCTCAGTGGATCCTACATGAAATTCAGTTCTGGAGTTCTGCTACTTCTTTCTTGCCTTAAACTGTCATTTCACAGTGGTCTCTTTGTTTGTGTTGGGCAGTAGGAGGACCTACAATCTGAAACAAGATAATCCTTTCAGCATGGCATGGTTTCTAACATGGAAGACAGCTGTACACTGTTAGTTGAATTTTGGGAGCCATCAAATACCCTTTATTGATCTGCACAGCACCGAGTGACCCGATGGCAGGACCTTCCATGTGTTCTGCTGTCAAACATCCTGCAAGAGACACAACAAAGAATCTTAGCAGGTATTATGTGAATGAAGAACTGGAGCTAAAGGAAGGGATTGTTGACTTTGCTGTCAATTTATCTATTAATGTTTTTTTCAGGTTAGAGTCGTAGTATTTTAACTCTGTTGTTACACTGCCTAAAAGAGGCAGGTTGTTTTCAATAAACATTTGTCAAATTAAATTGTGGCGTGTGTGTGTATGTGTGCGTGTGTGTGTTGGAAGTTATATTTGTTTGGATGGATCAAGAAATACCAGTGTGTTATAAGATGAGAACAATTTAAATATGTAGTTTCCTTCTATTTTTTTAAGGCAGGGTTTCCCTGTGTACCTCTGGAGCCTGTCCTCGAACTTGCTCTGTAGACCAGGATGGCCTTGAACTCATAGAGATCCGTCTGCCTCTGCCTCCTGAATGCTGGGATTAAAAGTGTGTACCTCCACCACCTGGCTCTTAATCCTCTTCTAACAATAATGTTCAGTGATTGTTTATAAATTCTATTGTTTTAAATTCTTTTTTTTTCATTTTATTTATTTATTTATTT